TTGCACTATGCAGTCACAGCAGATTACTACACCTTGAAGCCTTGCATAACGAAACAGACACATCTTCTGTTTTCATTCTACATTCTTGCTTTAATTATACACATTGTCTGTTATGAAACCTTGTCATGTTGTCACCAGTGGCCTCTGTGCTGAACTTTGCCTTCTCAAGATAGCTTTATCATTCATAAATATTTCAATGAGAACCAAAGACTGCTTATGAAAGATTGATTTCTTACAGTTCACTGACCTTTCCTTCAAGGCCTTTTATTAAAATTAGAGTAAACCCATCCTAGATATCTGAGCATTAATTGTTAATATTACAGGCTACTGAAACATACAGTCCTCAAGGAAAAGAGATGGCTCATAGTGCCGCATGACTGTAGAAATTAAAGCAATCAACAGCGTTTGAGCATGTTAATTTTCACATTCAGAACCAAACTGAACAGACTTTACAGTAAATCAGCTGGTAGAGCAACCTGACCAAGGCAGCACGGGAGAAGTTCTTTGCAGAGGAAGGAGAAAGAAAAGCCAAGAGCAGGGTCTTGAGTCTGGAAGCGTCTCAGACACAGGGTGCACTATGCACACAGGGGATGCTACATGAATAACAAATCCTTTAGCTGATCAAAAGCACTGCAACAGCAAAGGTCCCTGTTTTCTTCACATCAACAACATCTTAATAACACCTTGATAACATCTTGGCTCTGCTCCTCCAGGACATTTGGTTTTCCCAAGAAAACCTCCACTATTATCACATACCTCAAGGACAAACCCCAGCAACATGTTTACCTAAATGTCTTCTTTTGGGTATATATCTCTGATCTATGGGGACATATTTATGATCATGATCTGATCCCTCCTTTAATTTCACATCAGTAAACACAACTAGGAGTTCACTAATGTCATTTAGTATTGTATTTATAACCTGTGTGCCACATCCAAGGAGGATACATAAACTACAAATTAATCTGCTATTACTCCATCCCTAGACATTGTATTTCATCACTGTAGGGGCAATTGCTAATTTACATAAAACTGATATCAAGACCCTAAATTCAACTGATCCTTGGTTGTTAAATGGGGTTAGGGAAAGACAGGGGCATCATTACCAGCTTGAATGTCTTTTATTTACTTCAAGTCATACTTTAATGGAATTCTGTCTGGAATGCAGACCTGTCCTTGTACTTGATCTATCTACTACAGCTGCCAGATGGCTTGCCAGCCCTTTGGGAAGCTCTGTATGCCAGTATGCCCACCTGCAGGAGCTACAGACAGCAGGGGTGAGGATTTTCTGCCCACTTTCACCTTTAAAAAGAGTTGAGCATCAATCAGCTATATTCAACATATTGATTGTTGTGCTAATTTCATCAATAAAACCCCTCAGGTTTGGGGAGAGGTTTAAGCCAGGTGTTGTATTGAACCTGTCAGCACTGACATGCTGAAATCTAGATGAATGCAAACAGTGGAAACGGTTGGTTTGTTTGAAACCCCAAGTGGTAACTTTTGAACCTGGAGCAGAAGTTTCCTTGCAGGTGGATAAATAAACAGGAGCATCTTTCCTCCTCTCCATTGCTCACGCAGAAAATTTCCTTTCCAGAAGAACCGTGAAGCCCTGAGTTTTTATGACAAGCAGCAAATTGACACTTGTAAGTCCTGATTATGGGCAAGTTCTGATTTCACTGAGAGATTATGAATAAATTGCAGAGCCCACCATGATGTAGCTCATTTCAGGGGAAACGATTGGCCCATGAAGATAAATCTGAGCTGCATGCCAAGCCTTCAGTTTTCCTGGGGAGGAAGCTGGTCCTCTGATTACTGAACCTGAACATCACAGCAAGAGATTCAGGGCAAGCATTAAAAGAAAAAGGAGGCAGAGAGAGAGAATGCAAGAAGCTTACAATATGTTAGCACTGTTGACTGCACCAGGGCCTTTTCTGCTTAGACCAAGAAAGACTTCAGTGCTCTTTGTCTCCTGGTGCACTATCCACACAACACAGTAATTAAATTATTATGGGGGCTTCTTGTGAATTGGGGCACACTTTGTTAGCACAGGGCTGCACACAGTTCACTGTCTGCTGGCACATTAAGTATGCTTCCTATCTCTCGACTCCTATCACAGCCTATCATAAGCACATCACAAATACCAGTTAATTGAACTGTGCTAACCTGCAAAGTAGGGCCACCAGATGAATAAGCCAACAGTTCAAGTGCTAAGCTGAGACCTGGATAATCTATTTTCATGCCCTTGCTCCCTCTTGTCTCCTGGTTGCTTTATTAACTCCTAAGCAAGTTACGAGGCTTTTCATTAGCACAGTATGTTTGCTTCTCCAGAAAAATCCAAATAAATCCACATACTAAAACCCCACTAACTCCATGGGAAAACCCCCGCAGTATCTTATTCCTCCCCATTTTCAGAAGTGTCTTTTAATAACATAATGTAGTTATAGACTACAAAAGATACAGGAAAAAAATGAGACAACCTCCTGGCAAACTGCAGAGCTCTCGGGAGGGGCTGTTGCATCATTTCAGTCCCAGTTAAGGCACTGCTGCAGGACCTTTGGAACCAATGCACTCAGCATCTTCCAATACTACAGTTAATTCAACTGAGTGAACTTCAAACGGTTTGTTAAATGGTCATTACTATTTACTTGGGTCATTAACTTCAACAATGGCAGTGTGTTTGCACCATCGTATTTACTATAATTAGACTGAATATTATTTAATACACACAAAGGAAAGTATTTCAATCTCCCATCAACAGTACAATCCAAAACACAGCTGTGATTGAAAGCCAGATTCCTACTTATGTATGTTCCACCCCCTCCATACATACAAAGTAATTCTTCTACGCTGTGTATTAGTCTACCTCCTTTTGGAGGAGGCAAATAAAGCAGCAGAGCTGTAGAAAACCAGCCACAAGGAAGCTGAATTGGGTATTTTTAATAGAAATGCCAAAAAAAACCCAGGAAGTCTCATCTGAAGACAACTTCTCTCTTGCACACGCAAACCGTGTACAGTGACACCCTCTCCTGTATCCCTTCTTTCAGTCTGTCGCCTATCCAGGAGTTAAAAACATCCTTTCAGTCATAATCTGTCAATGTCATCATGGTCCAGCACCTCCCATTTGCCTGGCAGCACTCTCCAAATGCCACTGCTGTTCACAGCTCTTCCCTTGTCTTAGTTTCTAAATTCTATGGTGGCTGAACACATGCAACAAACCCAGGGTATTGCTCTGGATGAAGATGCAGAGTTCTTTCCCTGCATAAGAAAATGCTCTGATGCTGCAGCATGAGCACAACCCCAAGAAGATAACCCCCAAAGCGGTCATTAAGTGCCTGGATCTGGGAAGAATCATATCCACCTCAAAATGGCTTAAGCTGAGACAAGCCAGAGGATCAACACATTCCCTCTGGACACACAGCAGCTGGCAGAAGTGAGCTCATTGCTCTTTGCCCGCAGCGTTCCACAGCTATCTTGTCAGCAGTCCAGCACTAACAAATTGCATCTGTTTATTTCTGCTCTTGTCTTTAAGGTGGCTGCAGATTGTTTAAACCTGTTCTCCCTGCAAGTACATTTGAGCAACTCCATGCACCCTTTGGGTCTGAATTTCCAAGGACCTTTGGCATTGTAAAATGTTCTTAAGGATGCCATGACAAATCAAGCAGGAATCCCTCAAGCCACCTATGAAGACAAGTAGCAACTCTTGAGCAGATGCCACAATTTCAAAGTCTACTGTATTTTCCTTTGTGACTTTAAATGTGTACGGTTTTAAATGTCTAAAGTTTCTTTCAAATTTGAACAAACTCATTCTGTGGTTATTGAAATCACCGCCCCTCCTACCAAACAGGAGAGTGGCGTCACTCAAAGACATGACTTCCAGCTCAAGTCCATAGGCTATGTGTTAAATAGAGGAGAACAAGAACACTGTAATACACTTTTAATCTGTCACTGAAAAGGTTACATGTTGGGAGAACCCAGGAAGGACAGTCAAGGGCTCGGACTGCTAAAGAATGCCAGAACTTAAAAGGCATGTGCTAAACTCCTGATCCTGGGAGACGTGGACTCAGGTCAAGTTAAAGGAATAAAGTCATGGATGCTGTGAGCCTTAGTGCAGCGACTCTCAATGAAATGGGCAGGTCTGTTTAAAGAATAATGCATCAAGATCCATTTCCCACAGATGAATTTCCCATAGGCCACGGATCACCTGTGACAGGTTACACACATCAGCAACTGGACAAGATTTTAGCTGGTGGCTAAAAGGCAAAATAATCCCACAAAGAGCCCCTGACCAAATCCTTCTGCTCTGGGTCCCTGCATGTTGCCCACTGACTGTTTCACAGTCATGAGGAAAAGAATCATAAAACATGGTGAGGGATTTACTTTCCCTTCCCAGAGTAATAAGTAGTTGACACCCATTTAAATATTCAACAGTGCAAGTGTTCTGCCATTTAGTCTCATCACGTTGCCACAGTGTGGAAACGCTGGCTCAGTTCACCTCTTAGATTTCCCAGTAGAAATAACACAAACCTGGTGTGAACTGAACATTTGTGATAAGCAAACTTCTTCCTGCTGTTCATGAACTGAAACCTGCACACAGTCAGCAATGCACAGCCTCCACCGTTTTCCAAATGGCTCTTGGTTCCATACTTTTGCAGAGACCAAAAGCTTAATGGCTGTGCATTTGCTGCCTTGTTTCCTAAATTCTACCCCTTACAGCTACTAATAAATACCCTAAGAATATCCATTCCATTAGACTTGCAGCTAAAGCTGGACTGAGGTATGGGGCATAAGGCAGGAGGGCTATTTATTTAGCTATTCCAAATGTCAAGGAAGAAAGAAAATCTCTGGGACCTAGAGCAAGAAACGGTGCTACTGGTTTATACCCAAGCTCAGAAAAGCATCATTTTGCTCTTGGAAACGTTTATCACTTCAAGTCTCACCAGCAGGGATTGTTATTGCTGCATTAGGCTGACATCTGGCAGAGAGGTTGGGACAAAGGGGAAATGGAGAAGAGCAGAGTGAGAAGTTGCCAAGAAGACGTAATAAATTCATTTCTCTGACGCAAAACCAAGCTTGTCATTAAATGTCAAGTGCTGGATTAACAGCTGTGGGGGACCAAATCTCTGCTTCAAGCCATAGGCTCTCAGCAATACATGGTAAAAATCCTCCCCCATTAACACTGCCTCTGGCAACGTATTTTGCTTTGGTTTCAGTATGGAGTTGGACTGACAGTGGGTTGAGATAATCACACCCAGAGCACCTATGCGTAAGAGATGGAAATACCAGTTTGCATTTTGACCAGTATGAGCCAAACCAATGCAGTATGTCACCAGTAGGTAACACATGAAGCTACGTAAGACCTGGCTTTAGATGCCAAATCAGGCGTTTCTGATTTGGGTGTGCAATATCCGAATCTCAGCCCTGTCCCACATCAGTCTCAGATCAAGCTTTTTAGCCTTAAATGAGGAAAAGAAAATTCATGATTAAGCCAACTAAAAGGCTAAAGGAGGTAGCACCTGGAAGTGACCACATAAAGGATTTCGCTGTGGTTTAGAGTTCCTATCTGCACCCCTTGCCCCTTAAATGCAGCTAGAAGTTTTGCCCACTGTCCTACAGAGAGCAAGGACAAGCAAGGTCCCTTCTTTGTTCCTTCCCTGTCCTTGCATTTTGTTCTAGGTGAAATGAGTAAACAGCCTAGGAACATGCTCAACTTTGCAGTCTATCTTCCTATTCATAGTCCAGGCACTGAGGCCAGCCTGAGGCAATGCTGCTGAACATGCAGCAAATGCCAAGAAAATCATCATGGACTTTCTTTTTCTTTTTTTTCTTTCTTCCTTAATTTTTATCTTTTTTGCCAACAAGGTACCCATTGAAATTCAACAGCCATTTTACTGAAGCACTCTTGATGCTGGGTGACCTTTGTTTGACATTTTCTTTGCATATGTGCACCAGGAGAGACCAATCCACCCTTTAACAACTCCATAATAGAGCAGCATGGCCATGGCAGGGAATGATAAAAACTGCTGTGATGAGTGCTAATTCTTGTGGTATTGGAAGGCTCCTTAAATCAAAGCGCTGGAACTGAGAAGTGAGGAACATAACTACAAGGTTTATCGATCATTCCTTACTACATGAGCATAATTCTACCCTGAGAGAACTCCACAAATCCCTGTGTTTACGGTATAAAGTTAAGGTAACAACTGTTTAGCACAGCTGATATAAAGGAAAAGCTACCCTTACAGGTACTTGCTTTGTGTGTTTAATATACCTAAATTATCCATTGCTATTCTACTTCCAAACTAGTCTTAATGCTAATAAGTGACTGTCCCTGCTTCAGACAGGAAGGAGGTAAGATACACAAGCAGAGAGGACTGCTGCAGCAAACCCACCTATGAAACAGTACAAAGAAGGATTTCCCATTTCTGACCTTTTACCTCTATAAACCCCATTTAACACCTGTAAGCCCCATTTATCCCCCATTTAACCCCCTTTTACTTCCATTTATCCCCTTTTAAACCCCATTTACCCCCTATAAACCCCATTTAACCCCCTTTTAACCATATTTACCCCTATAAACCGCCTTTTACCTCCTTTTTACCCCTATAAACCCTATTTAAACCCCTTTTACCCCAATTTAACCCCCGTTTCCCCCCCTCTAGGACCCCCCTTGGGCCTCCTCAGGCCCCAGCTCCCCTCCCCCGGAACCGGGCGCTACCACCGGGCCCGGAGTAGGGGGGGGTGTCGCGGGTGTCGTGGACGCTTGGAGCTCAGCCCCTACCGCCCTCCGAACCATCGAGACCTTCGTTCGCAAAGCCAAATCATCCAAGAAACGCGGCTTTAACCGGTTAAACCCCCCGGACACGGCCCTGTTGGATAAAATGCGCCTTAAAGACTCCTTGTTCGACTTAGGACCCCCCCCTCAAGCGGGCGCCATTAGAGTGGTCCCACTTCCGCCTCCACTTCCGCCTCCTCCTCCTCCGCCGCCGCCGCCATCTTTGACCGCGTCGCCACGGCGCCGGGAGCGTCGCAACCGGCGGGGAGGCGGGGGGGGCCGCCCGGAAGCGAGGCCCCGTATTAAGAAGAGCAAGAAACGGCGTTGGAAGAAAACGGGAGGGGTTGAACGCGAAGGGGGAGGGAAAGCTTCCCCCAGCGATACGGACTCGGAAGAGGAAGCCGAGCCCCCTCGGGCGCTCTCGGGTCATCACACGCACCCCCCCCCTGCTTCCCCGCAAGTGGTAGCGTCCGAGGCGGAAGGGAGGGAGGTGGGAGTGGGGGGCAAAGATGGCGGCGGCGGCGGCGGTGGAGGAGGAGGAGGAGGCGGCGGCAGCACCGAGACGAGCCGGGACGGGGACGGGAGCTCCAGTGAGGGGGAGATGAGGGTCATGGATGAGGACATCATGGTGGAGTCCGGTGAGTTGGGGGGGGAAAAGGGGGGGTTTGGGGGGTTGGAGAATAGGGGGTTTTGGGGGAGCAAACGGGGATGTAGAGAGACGGAGTGGGATGAGGAGAATAAGGGGGGTTGGGGGGTAAAATGGAGATTTGAGGGGTTTATGAGGAGAATAAGGGCTTTTGGGGGAAAAAGGGGGATTTGGGGGGTTTATTTGGAGAATAAGGGGGGTTTAGGGAGGAAACGGGGATTTATGAGGAAAATAAGGGGGTTTTGGGGGAGAAAATGGGGATTTGGGGGGTCTATGAGGAGAATAACGGGTTTTGGGTGAGGAAATGGGGATTTGGGGGGTTTATGAGGAGAATAAGGGAGTTTTAGGGGAGAAAATGGGGATTTGGGGGGTCTATGAGGAGAATAACGGGTTTTGGGTGAGGAAATGGGGATTTGGGGGGTTTATGAGGAGAATAAGGGTGTTTTGGGGAGGAAATCGGGATTTGGGGGGTTTATGAGGAGAGTAAGGTGGTTTTAGGGGAAAAACGAATTTGGGTGGGTTATGAGGAGAATAAGGGGTGTTTGGGGGAGAAAACGGGGATTTGAGGGGTTTATGAGGAGACTTAAAGAGATTTTTCGGGGTTTATGAGGAGAATAATAAATTTAGGTCAGTTTTCCCCCATTTTTAATCCCATTTCCCCCATTTTTCCCCATTTCTCCCCATTTTCCCCATTATTCCCTATTTTTAACCCCATTTCTCTCATTTTCCCCATTTCCCCCATTTTACCCCCATTTCCCCCATTTTTAACCCATTTCCCCCCAATTTCCCCTATTTTAACCCATTTTTCCCATTTTACCCCCATTTCCTCCCCATTTCCCCCATTTTTACCCAATTCCCCCCATTTTCCCCCCAATTTCCCCCATTTCCCCCATTTTTACCCCATTCCCCCCTGTTTTTACCCCCATTTCCCCATTTTTAACCAATTTTCCCCATTTTTAACCCCATTTTTCCCATTTTTAACCTCATTTTTCCCATTTTTAACCCCATTTCACCCCATTTTAACCCCATTTTAACCCCATTTTCCCCTTTTTTACCCCATTTCCCCCATTTTTAACCCCATTTTCCCCATTTTAACTCTATTTTCCCCATTTTTAACTCTATTTCCCCCATTTTTAACCCATTTTCCCCATTTTTCCCCATTTTCCCCCATTTTTAACCCCTTTTTCCCCCATTTCCCCCATTTTTAACCCATTTTCCCCCATTTCCCCCCATTTTTAACCCATTTTCCCCCCATTTCCCCCATTTCCCCCATTTTCCCCCATTTCCCCCCATTTTCCCCCATTTCCCCCCATTTTACCCATTTCCCCCGCTCCCCGCAGGCGACGACTCCTGGGACCTCATCACGTGCTATTGCCAGAAGCCCTTTGCGGGCCGGCCCATGATCGAGTGCAGCCAATGCGGGACCTGGATCCACCTCTCCTGCGCCCGCGTCCGCAAGAACAACGTCCCCGACGTCTTCTACTGCCACAAGTGCCGCGAGGGGCCCCCCCCCCCCCGCCGCGCCGCCCCCCCGCAGGGCCCTCAGGGGAACCCGAAAACGCATTGACCCCTCCCCCCCCAAAGAGAAAACCCCATTGGACCCCCCAAAAAACCCCATTGGACCCCCCAAAAAACAAGAACTTGGGAGACCCCCAAAAACCCCCATTGAACCCCCCATAAACCCCATTGGAATCCCCCCAAAAAAACGCCATTGGGACTCCCCCAAAATCCCCATATAGACTCCCCAAAGAAAAACCCCGTTGGGACCCCCCCCAAAAAAAAACCCATTGGGACCCCACCCAAAAAAAAACCCCATTGGGACCCCACAAAAACCCCATTGGGACCCCCCCAAAAACAACATTGGACCCCCACCCCCAAAAAAACCGTTGGGCCCCCCCAAAAAAAACCCATTGGAACCCCCTAAAAAACCCCCATTGGACCCCTCAAAAAAAGCCATTGGAGCCCCCATTGACCCCCCCCCGAAAAACCTCAGTGGACCATCCCAAAAAACCCAATTGGATCCTCCCAAAAAGCCCCTATTGACTCCCCCAAAAACCCCCATTGGGCCCCCCCAAGAAACCCCCATTGGAACCCCCATTAACTCCTCCAAACTCCCCATTGAACACCCCCCAAAAACGCCCATTGGACCCCCCAAAAAACCCCATTGACCCCCCAAAAAACCACCATTGGGCCACTCCAAAAAACCCCATGCCCCCCCCCCCAAAAAACCCATTGGACCCCTATTGACCCCCCCAAAAAACCCCAGTTGACCCCCCAAAAAACCCTATTGATCCCCTCATTAACCCCCCAAAAAAACCCATTGAGCCCCCCAAAAAACCCCCATTCAACCCCCCCCCAAAAAACCGCATTGACCCTCCAAAAAAACCACCATTGATCCCCCGAAAAAAACCCTATTGGACCCCCCAAAAACCCTATTGATCCCCCAAAAAACCCCTATTGGACCCCCCCAAAAAACTCCATTGACCCACCCCAAACCCCCCCCCTTCCGACCCAATGGACTCTTCCACACCAGGGTTGCCATACGGGGGTGAAACCATTGCAGGGAGGGGAATGGGGGGGGAAGGTCGTTTCTGGGGGTCCCATAGCCCTATAAGGGGTCCTCACCCCCTAAATTGGGGGTGTTTGGGGTCCCATAGCCCTATAAGTGGTCCTAACCCCCTAAATGGGGAGGGGTTGGGGTTCCTCATCCCCCTAAATGGGGGATTTTGTGGTTCCATAGCCCTAAAATGGGGGGGTTAAGGGGTCCTCACCCCCTAAATGGGGGGTTTGGGGGTCCATAGACCTATAAGGGCTCCTCAGTCCCTAAATGGGGGGGGGTTGGGGTCCCTCACCCCCATAATAGGGCCTTTAGGGGGTCCATTGATTCAAATCAAAAGACTTTGGGGACCCCCCAATATAGGGGGGTTTAGGGGTGTCGTGTCACCCCCCCCAATGGAATG